CCTTAATTTGCTGAGATTAACACAGCTACACAGTCCCAGCATCCAAGCAGGAGTTTGTGGTGCCAGTGTGGGTAGTTCTGCTGGGCAGGCTGTGCCATTAACAGTTGGTTTATTTAGTGGCTGGACACCGTGGCACTGATGAAGCTGCACTTTCACCTATGGTAAGAACTTCAAAGCCAAAACCTCACAGATTTAAACAGCAAGTTATTTTTTTAGTCCCACATCTGTATTTTAAAAGAGCAGGCTTAGAGAAAGCCTGAAAGCTATCTGATCTTTGAAATCAGACTCTGCTTTGTGTAGTGAAAATGCGCCAAAAAGGAAGAACCTGTTCTTACCCTTGCTGCCACTACAAAGTTTTATCAGACAAGGATGACACAAGGTGGCATTTTTCACCCTTCAGGTGCAACCTGAGTCAGTGGCAGAGTAACAGATCCACTCTGCTGTTATCCAGAGAGCTCATCTTCCCAACCTTCTGTGTCAAGTTCTCCTTACCTCATGTAACACACCACTCTAAGTAAGAAATTTAAGGTACTCAGCAGCCCAGTCATGGCAGAAGTAGAGGATGAGATGATTAAAAAACCAGCAGGTTATGATCTGAACAGAAATCTTATGGGGTTATGCAAGTGCTACTTGAAATTTTAATTTAAAACTCTTAATGATGCTGATTTTCCAGGTAAGAAAAAAGGCTTAATCAAGCCTGACTACTTAATTTTAGAGGCAAACCTCTGTTACATTCTGGAGTGCAGAAGCTGAGGAGAGCAGGTGGGACTTGCTACAGTCTAAATTCTCCTGTTACTTTTCAGAATATCCTTACAACTTAAAGCAAGCTGGCCATGTGCACGTTACTGGAAGAACTGGTATATATTGCCCTGCCCAGCTTCCTTCTCGGCACAATTCATCTGAACCTTACTCAGCTGCAGGACAAGCCAGATCCATTAAAAAAAAAAAAAAAAAAAAAAAAGTTTTAGTCATGGAACACTTCTGCATGTGTCACTGGCAGGAGACAAGGACTGCTCGGCACCATTCCTGCCCTTGGAAATTCAGCTCATCACCTCACCATTATTCAGTGTCATGGTAACAATTTAGCACAGCCACACAGCACTTGCAGACCTTGCATTTCTGGTGTTCCCCCCAGCCCCATTCTAATGCACACACACACACTCTCAAATCAAGGCTTCTCAACTAAACATTCTTAAAAAAAAAAAAAAAATTTAAAAAAAATCAAGTGTTTGCCACACCCAACTACACATGAATATTCAGAGATTAAAACACAAAGGGTCTGTAGAAGTTCCTGGAAGCAGTACAAAGTACACCCTACAAATCAGTAATCTTTTCAGTCTGTTGACATTTCATTTTCAATGCATGCTCATCTGAGAGCTTCAGGTTTCTGTTTTCAAAGATGATCATTAACCAGTGATCATTTTACACTCAACTACAGATTATTGGGCTTTTTTATATAAATGAAAATGTGTATGCCATCTGTTATTTGTAATTTATTTTTTTAATTAAATGTGTTTTAACAGAAACAATGGCTTTTTATTTAATGCAGGGGAAAAAAACCCAAAACAAACAAAAACCCCACATGTTTAGAAAAGAACAGTGTCTCTCCCAGACAGCTTTCCTCTAATTAAAATAGACTAGGCAACTCCTGAAGAGTGCTGTATCTGCTTATGCCACTAGATGTTTTGTCTGTATAAAAATAGTATGATAATCAAATGTATGAATTGCCTGCAGTCTCCAGGAGAAGAAAACCCAGCAGTAAATATTTTGTGGGGCGTTCAAAAGCTGTATGATGTGTTTGAAAATGCTCTGTCATTTGCAGGTAACTGCGTTGGTCAATTGGTATTTCTTGTACATTCTTCAGTAAAGGATGTATTTGGTTTCTCCACTATAAAGTTTTTACATTCTTTGCTCTGTTATCAATGCTTTACACTCCCACTATCTTTTTGAACTATAACATCACAAAAATACTGATACTGTTTTGCACTGCGATATGGCCATGTCAGTGGATCTGCTAATGAGATTTTATCCTGGAGAATACAGCTGGGCACATAAAAGGAGCTTTGGAAAAGGAACCAGCCAAACTTCAATCATGGCATGGGAGGCCTTAATTTGGAACAAAACTTAAAAGCAGCATTTCAGCTTAAGAGAATGTTTTCTCCTGAACTACAGAAGCAGAGACACACCCTGCCTCCTTCTTCCAAAGATCAGCCTGTTTTTGTGGGCTCAACTCTGTCCTTATCCAGTTTGTCTTAAAAAAAAAAACCAATGCCAAACCTCTCCCTCTTCCTTCCCAAGGCTTTATCTAATGTTTCTTTGCACTTGAAAGGAAAAGCTTAAAAGTGCAGCAGGAAAGACAAATATATTTCATTCAGGAGTGAATTAATTTTGTGCAGGGCAGGGGAGGTAAGGGTGGGGTTTTTCACCACTCTCAAGTAGCACCAAGAGGGTCTCAACCCCAGCAGTGCCAGAACTGAGCCACCTTGTTCAACAACATCCTACTCACACCATCACAAAACAGGATATAAACTAGCCCCAAATGCAACTGGTGGTCTCGTTTCAGGAAATGACATGAATTAGCATTATTTTAGCACGCTATAAATCAATCTTGAACATGATTAGCATCATTTTAGGAATAAAAAAGGTTTTCACAGATTTTTTTCCCTGTCTTGGGTAAATTCTGTTCAGTCATGGCCACAATGTTTAGACATGCAGAAAAGAATTTGATTTGTGCAATCACAAAAGTAAGCAATATTTTCTCAGTAGCAGAGGTGTCAAATGGGGAATTTTAAAGAAGATGGTCAGAAAGTCAGAAAACCACCTATTCTGTTTTTAAACCCCATTCTGTACTTGATTCCTGAATTATGAAGCCAATTGAATTATACTGAAATCCAACTCTACTCCTTCCATTAAGAGTCTCTCAGTGAAATTTTGTTCTTAGCAAATTTAATGTCTTACCTAGCCACAGCATGAGTAACAGCAAAAGCTACTTATAGATCTGGAATCATGAGCTTTACTCCTCTGAATCCAAATAAACTGCTACCCTCCTGCCCTGTTAAATCCACACTCTCCTTGGAGCCTTCAGAGGCCCTAACCAGCCATCATGCTGTGCCCTAGTGCCAACAGCCTTTGCTCCACTGGATATAAAGTGAAGAAAATATACTTTTATTGAGGTTATTTTCACCCATAAAAGTTGCCAGTAGCAAAGTGTTGCCATGCTTTGAAAAGTCCACCTCAAATTATTAACATATATACTCAAAAAACACCTTTACATCTTCTGGAACATCTGACAGCTGTCAAACAAATATTTAACAAAATCTATCCCATGCAATTGTTTTAATTAACAATTTTACAATTTTAGATGGCCACCATTTTACAAGTTTACAGCTGAGAACAATCTTGCCTGTGACAGTTGTTCACACTGCTGTGTAATAGTGAACAGGAAGATAAAAAGATGCATTTATAAGGGGAACTTAAGGTCTTTAATAAATTTTAAAAATTGTGAATATTGCCTTGTTGGACCAAACAGCAACCTTGAAATCAAAGTTGCAGCACTGAAAACAAGACTAAAGAAATACAGGAATTCAGCCTGAGTATACAGATCTCAGGATTGTTTAATTACATGATCACACCATTCATTCCCCAAAGGAAGTTTTAGGGTTGTGGGTTGTTGTTTGGTTTTAGGTTTGTTTGGGTTTTTTTCACTTGGAGTGAGAAGTGAGGTTTGGGGGTTTGGTTGTTTTTTTTTTTTTTCCATTTGTCCACTCTATTTTAGTTCAAAAGATGAAACCTGCAAAATATAAGTTTGAATGAGCATTACATGATTATGCTGTTTCCTACAGGATCACTACTTCAATTACTAGAAAAAATGATACAGTGCATGAGAAATGGTTTTAAAGAAAAGCTGCAGAAGTCTGAAGATTTAAATCATTGGAAGCAGCTCTGAAGATGTGGATTTTGAAGTTGTCTCCAACAGAAATCCACTGCAATGGTCTCTGATTTAATAGCTAGATACTGGTATTATTTTCCCTCATTTTCTGGACTTGGAATTTGAAAACACAAAGGCTTATTTACCAATGCACTGGGTATTTGCAGCTGCAGTTGAAGATAATAGGAGTTACAGTCTGATCATATTAATTGATACATAATGCTGAGTGCTCTGAACAAAAAAAAAAGTCTTAGGCACCCAATATTGGACAGCAGCATAAAAGAACACATTAATTTCTTTTCCCTGTGACTCACTTTCTTTCCTATAAAACAGTAATAGTTTTTAATGTCAAGGTGTCATATTACAGTGAATGGCATAAGAGTGTCCATTAGGAAATGAGACAACCTGTCTTCAGGAAGTGCTTTCACTGTCATGAAGTAACACATGGCACAGAGCCACACTGGGGCATGGTGGGGCAAACAGAGTATTAAATAGCTGCTCTCCACCTGCATCTGGCCAGCCCAAGAACACAAATAAGCCAGAACCACTAGAACAAAAACATGTTAATAATATAATTTAAAACTGTGTTTAGAAGATAATTAGACCAATCATTAAGATATGAAATAATAAGTAATTTAAAATAATTAGGGCTGTAGAGGTAATCCCATTGACATTTAAAATTTTGTATGCTTAGGTTTCTTACTACTTTTGTATCCCAAAAGTCAGAGGCACAAATTCCATCTCATGCCATTGCTGGCAACCCTATAATGTACTACCTGTGAAGTTTTCTAACTTCCAGAACCATCCAGGATTCCCACTCCTGAGAAACCAACTTGCACAAAAGCAGCCATTCCAGACCCACAGCACAAGGCACATCCTTCCCCCGGCAAGTGGTAGCAGCAAAGAAAGAAGATCCTGTCCTGTGGCACACTCCAGTCTAGTTAATACCAAGGGCTGAATCCAGCAGCTCAGGCACGGAACAGGACACAACCTAAGCTTGTCCCTATTGCTGCTTTTTCTGTTAGGAACTCGAGAAAGAATGCCTGCCATTGCTATGCTAACTTTGAGAAGAGGAAAAATCCAAACAACTTCTATGTTATTTTAAGAGTCCCAATAATGCAAGAAACAGAAAGACTCAGAGTAAGTCAATTTAACAGTCCAAATAAAGTGCATACAGTGGTCCTTGGAAAATTACAAAGTGGTGTTTGGTAATTTTGATATTTTATGACTTCTGGTAACCATGATATTTTGCTCAAAGTTGGTTTTGAGTTTTCAAAAAGTCAGTAAGGCCTCTATTAACAGCTTCTCCAAACTGAAAGTTGAAGATTCACACTTCCACTGTAGTGACAAAACACTAAGACTTGGTAGTCTAACTGTTTATAAAACCCATTTTATGAGCAGTGCAATCCTGACATAGATCACTCTAAGCCAAGTAAGAGACTTTATGGACACAGTGACCTTTGATGTAAAACACCAGGTTTTGCAAAGTTTTCCCCGGACACAAGTTCCATATCTCTGAAGAAGTTTATTCATATTGCTTTATAATTACAGCCTACATGTCAGGAGCAAAGGAATAGGAACTTGGATCTAACTAATTTGAGAACATCTAAATGAAATGTGTTCATAATGTCAATTTTTAAAATTTATGTGCGTGACAAGTTAAGACCTTTCCTGCCCCTATATTTGCAAGATGATTATCAGCATCTCATTTTTCTCTGTCTGTTCTTATCATTGAGAGCATATCATCAGTGTTAGCAGGTCACATAAAAGTCTATTTATTTCGCACCAAAAGTATGAGTAATGTTGCACGTCAACATCCAGGACAGGAAAAAATAACATATTTTAAATATAAAACATTTTGGAAAGAAAATCATTTTAATCATCCTCAGGTGGGTAACACTCCATTTCATTTTCCCCCAGAGACATATTACTAGAATTAGTGTTAATCTCAATAAAACTACAGTATTTCTGTTAATTCACCAGAAAGCATCAAATTTAAAAATAGCTTGTAATTTATTATGTGCAGCATAATATAGTTTTATAAGATTTTTATTGTTTTTGAGACCTTTTACAGTTTTCCTTATCAAAATGTGACATAATTCTTCCCATAGCTCAGCTGTCTCTTCATAATGCTGCAGTACATGATAAAGAAAATACTTTATCGTTGGAGATAAACTTACTGTGCCTGGCTTTCCATTTTAATAAAATTTACGACAGCATCAGAGAAACTGCAGTACCAGATTTCATTGGCTGACAAAAAGCACACATTGGTAGCTAAGATTTACTTTACACCTTTGTTTTGGCATTTTATATAACAGCCATAGAAGCAAGCTGTCAGGACAAGGTCCATGAAGGATTTTAAGGACTGGTTTAATTTAAATTCAGGGGTTCAGATGCAAACGGGATGGCTGCTAGCAATAGAAAGTGTCAGAGCATATGGATTGCCTAGATTTTATTTTTGCATGACACTAAATGAAACACCTACCTACAAACACAGAGTTCCTCCATTTTATTAGCCTGAAATTAAGTTATCTTTTGCAGTTAAAGGCCCCTGAAGTAGATTTGTTTATCTTTGGAGCTGGGATAGAGGGAGATTTTATTATATTGGACTAATCCTCTCATTTAATGCCCTTAATGAATTTTCATTCCAGAAGAAGATGCCACGGGAGAAACGGCCAGATCCACTGAACTTTGTCCAGGATGATATTTACATCCTTCCTGGTATAAATCAAAATCTTTTGAGAGTTTTCATGAGGAGGAAGAAATAAACCTGAGTGGTGGGTGAAGTCATGAACAACTGAGAGGCAGCTGGGTCAGAAGCTGAGTGGGAGGAAGAAGGATCAGCTTTTTCAGCTCATAGCTCAGATATAGCCTTTGTGTTCTTGGACAATTTACATTGCAATTTAACATATTTGCATCTTTACCTGATAAGAATAAAGAAAACTGCACATTGCTGTGGTCCTTTAAAAATCTTTGTCCAATATAACAGCTACCAGTAAAGAGTTCCCCTGTTGGAAACACCAAGGCCATCACACTCCTTCTGTGAGCCATGCAGTTTGCTGCTGCTGCCACAGTGGGCTAAGGGCTGTAACATCAGTAAGGTTTCAGCTGGGACTAAAAGTCTTGGAATAATTAATAGATGATGGGGTGATAAAGAACAGTGACAATCAGAAAATTACCCTGTTCTAACTTCAAGAGCATTTCCTTCCTTCTTCCCCTGATTACTATTTTTAATCCCACAAAGTGAAGCATCAGGAATTCCTCCAAGGTGACAGCAGCTCTGTGCTAGAAGGGTAAAGAGACCAGGCACTGACTGGCATTGTTCAACAGACCAGCATCAGGGCTGGGTGAAGAGCTGACAGATTGGTGGTTAATTCTGTTTTCACAAACAGAAATGGAGACTGTTTTGCTAAAGTGAAAATCTCTTCCTTTAACATTGCTTCCCCAACAGAAGGCCTGGCTAAGTGAGAGCAAATCTGTGAATTTTCAAAGCAGTTTCTTAAACCCACTTGAGATTTTACTGACATTTACATTTCTAGAGCATACCCAGTTTATTTCTATCCAGCATTCAGAAGGCCATTATTTGCATCTCTTGAAGCTTTTCTTTTGCACAGTCAAAACACACACTGCTACACAAAGTGAGTTCACTGGAGGGGCAGGAGAATTTAGCTTCGAATACATTTCAAACAGGAGCTCTGCTGTACTTTGAACAAAGCTTTTGGAGTTTTATCATGGTATCCTGTCTCTCCTTGAGAATAGCTGCAGAAATACCCCAACCTTCCAGCTTCCCCTTCCTGCTCCCCTTCATCCTTCCTTCCCTGCCTCCAGGCCAGCTCAAAGCAGCAGCAGGGATGCTAACCATGGCCAAACTAGAACAGTATTAGAGATCACCCACACAGCACCAAATTCAGGTACATCCAGATAAATGCTGGGAAAAAATAATTTTGATACCGCAAGGGAAGATGGATTGTTAGAGGAAATAAAAATAGCTGGGGAACAAGCAACAACCTACAAAAAGCCAACATTTCTGTTTAACTGTTTGCTCCAGCTGACAAAAATAATGACTAAACTTCCATGAGGCAAAACAAAACTAGATCAGGACTCTGCAAGTCTACATGGAAGAACCTGAAAGAGAGAAGACCATGAGACAAGGCTGTTAACACACAGATCTCACCATGACACCAATGGAAATTTAAAGTTTTAAATATTTCAAGTTATTTTCTATGTTAATTTCATTACTATTTCAAGGAGGCATTTGCTCAAGTTCTTAGCATGCATTTGCAGTTTCTTTCTTAAACTACAAAAGAATTTTCAATGATGCATGAAAATCACTGGAAAATAGTCTCAAACAAAACATGAATCTATTTACAGGAACAGTCTAAATTCACCTACTCCAAGATTAGTTAGAAATCTTCCTTATTGTGGCTGAAATGAAAATAAACAGTATTATGATTTATCTGACTGAGAAAAACTCCAAGAACTGCTCAGGAAGTTCCTAAATGTGCTATAAAGTAATTCACAGAAGTCAGGATCTGCTCTTAAACAGTTTAGGAACTTATTACACTAGATATAGTGGCTGATTACACTGCATGTGATGAAATCACACACACACACAAAAGAAAACCAAACAAAACAAAAGAATCCACTTCTCTTTGAGCACAGATTTATATTGGCTCCTTCAGGTCTCACTTCAGGCCACAGTGTCAGTACTGGAACATGTTATTCCAAAAACAAATTATTTACACATTGGAAAAAACAAGCCCCATTAGGTGGTCATGACACCCACCCCTTTCTCAGCAAGCACATGAATTTTTATTGAGGTTTGCTCTGCTGGAACAGAATTCTTTCCTAGGAAAAAGTTATTTCAACATCTTCTATGCCAAATATGTGCTGTTGCCTGTTACTTGTGCCCGAGTGTTCAAGACGTGGCTGAACAGCAGCACTGACTGAGCTGCAGACTGGTTACCTGCACAGCACCATAAAGCAGCTCAAGGAATGGTGGCAGCCACTTACACAGACATCAAAGTACCTTCTGTGTGAGGGCCAGGAGTTTCACTAAGTGTGTAGTTGGCAGGGTTGGTTATCAATAAAAGCTCTTAATTCTATTATCATCTGGAGAGTCACTTGTCTAGAGCAACACATACCCCATTAGGAGATTATTTTGCTTTAGCCTCAAGTGTACTCTAGTTCTCATGCAGTATTATTCTTCGGGATTATCCATGATACCCACAGGTAACAGGATCCTTGCTTTCTTTTTCTTGCACTACCAATCATCAGTTATAAATAGAACTGTTAATTTTAAAGAGAAAAAAGGGTATTTCTTACTGCAACCAGTGTTGTTCTATAGGCAGTAAGAGAACTATGAGAAAAAAGATGCTATAAAGCCTTTTTTCTTTTTAATTAAAAATATATTGGTATTTGAAACACTGATAAGAATCATATAGCAGAAATATTCCTAGGTGCGTGTCATGACAAAGTAGAAGGGTTTCTCTCCTCACCTTGGATTAGCAAATTTCATATCAGATATTTCATATCAAATTTCATATGTGAACAGTGCAACCTAGAAGAAGAGCAGGATCCAAAAGAGTTGAGTTTATTAAATGATCTACAACATGATTAGCCACCAGTGTGGGTACATATATATGGTTTCACACACATATGTCTGGGGGTGTATGTATATGTAAGTCCTCATATAATTAGTTTATTTTTTGTGGCTGTGAACACACTTCAGTTTCTTCACACTAGCCCTCAAAATGGTTTCAGGGTATTTGTCTCACAGCCTTTAATGGCTTAGTTACCTAATGAAGTAAGAATTTAAATAGTGAACACTTAGATTTGTTTTGGAAAGTAAGAGAGAAGAAATCTTCCCAGAAGGATAATAAACAGAATTTGTAGTCAATCAGCACTCTAGCAATAATAGAACACAAGAACAGTGGTAGAGCCTGGCACTGGCAAGCTCCAAGACAGATTATTTGTGATGGGGTTATGCTGTGCCATTAGGCAGAGTGCTCAAATTTCTATAGTCCTTCCTCCTGGGGGTTCAAAGGCAAACCACTGTCATGGGAGCAAAGTTAGTACATTTTGGTCAAGATTTCACCAGAGGGTAATGAAACATGAAGTAACATAGGAAAACAAGCACATTAGCATTGAGCTCTCCAATTCTCACTGAATGCTTTTGCTTGGGAGCACACATGCAGCAGCATTCAGAGAATGTACACGTTAAAGTGACAAATTCAAAAGGCACCCAAGCACATACACTGACCTCCATTCCCCTTCATGGTGTTTAGTTGGGTACAACAGCTCACTGCAGTTCTTAAATGCCATTCAGAACTACAAGAGTGCAATTCATGCCTTGCACTTAACAGTGACTCTCCAGGTGAGAAGATTGAATTACTTTTCCGTGTCAGAGTTTTCTAACTTGCCCTCTCTAACCTTGCTGCTCTCCTCTCCTTTTCAGTAGTCTCAAGTGCACCATTCTGATAGCACAGAATATCTGAACTCAGCCCGATTTAGCCAGATATTATGTATTTTTGCATTTTCAAATAGCTCCAGAAGTCTAGATAACAAATTGAATCAAATATTGTAGTTGTATTCCTATGTTACTTGCAGCCCAACCAGGTTATTTTTATTTTTAATAAAAACTAAACATAAAAAATATTTTTTTAAACATTGGCATTCAATGGTATGGACCACACCATCAGTTAGTTTATAAAGCAAAAACTTTATAATCACCTGGGGTTATAAAGGATCACCTGGGCCTGTCTTATCTTACTTTAAAATCAGTCTCAAGAGAAAGAGTAATAAAGGAGTAATAGACAATGGGCATCCTAGGGCAAACACCAGTAGCATGTTGTATATGGACCAAGAGCCAATCTTGTCCAACCATTTCTTGTTGGAATTAAATAATAGAATGGGCTTGTCTATCTGAATTTCCCACTTCAATTAACTGCTGAAAACAACTGATGTTTTCCACTAAAGTACTCACAGTTATTAGGAGATAAACCACAGAAAAATGCATGCAATTAAAATAAGTTTTCAATAGTTGGAGTCATGGTTCAAATTGGATCCTTCAGTTTCTGAAGAATGAGTGTCTTTTCTGCAGAACTGGGGATACAAATCATGGCAATACTCCTGTCTGTGACTAGCCAAATATGATGCAAGATCACAGGAAGAAGGCACCACCTCTTTGTAATGATCTAGTCTGAATCCTCACACTAAGAAGACATTCATATTGCCTCCATATGTTTTCCATTTCATTTTTCAAAATTCCCGTAAGTTAATCTATTATGTCATTGGACTTTATATCACCAAGTCCTGCTGTGGCAGCAGTTCATAACATACATATGAGAAAAATGAATTATCTCACTGGAATTGCTGTCCTTTGGAATTAATTATCTTTTTGTGATACTCCATGGAAGATTTTTTGAGAAAAATACTGTCTCTCCCCATAGCTGATCCTCACACACCCTCATGAGTGAAATTTCAAATCAGTTGAAAATTCCTGTCCTTCTAAGGCACAGATGAGAGACTGTCATTGATGAGCATTTTCAGATTTGGTATTTGTGTCTTCCCAGTGTTTGCCAGAGACCCTCCATGTGATTGTTCTCTGAAGCTATGAGTTCACAAGCAACCCTTACAAGCTGATAAAAGCAAAACAAACCAAAAAGCCCTTGAGCCATTCTGGATTGACTCCATTTATAGCATACTCCCTGTAGGAAAAAAATAATCACATATGCTTATATAACTAATTGAGTTAATAGGGATGCTTTGGACAGATTTCTTTCTTTAGGAAGATTACAGCCTTCACCTACTCTAGCTCTTATTCTTCTCAGTAATCAAGTGACTGTTACCTGAAAGCAAAGCCTCAGACACAACCCTAACATTTCTACTGCTGAATTTCATGGCCTTATCAGTTACTTGGCTTTCTGTTATTTTGAGGTGTTAAGCAGCCTTG